CCCTGAGATGCAGCCTTTGCCATGTGCCACTCTGCCTTATAATCTGCCAAGTACGGATTGAAACCTCCACAAACTGTAAGCGAAATAAACCTTTCCTTCCTTAAATTTGGGTGTCAGGTACTTTGTCCCAGCAGCGAGACAAAAGTAACCAAGACAGGTTACTTCATTCCTAGAAAGACTATGTTGGTCTTTGGTAGCATTAGTATTACAGGAAAATGTTTTCTCACCTTGTCTGGGTCCTGTAGCTTCCCTGTGCAGTCCTACAGAGAGAAGCTTTTTTTTTTCTTTTTTGAGAGTTTTAAAGAACTAAAGTATTAGCATATTTGGTTGTTAGTGTCAATTTTCTTTCTTTTTTTTTTTTTTTTTTTTCTTTTTGAGACAAGGTCTCTCTATGCAGTTCAGGCTGTCCTTGAGCTTACTTTGAGCTTACTTACTTGGTCTTGAACTCGCAAGGATCCTCCTGCCTCCACCTTCCGAGTGCTGGGATTACAGGCGTGTGCCACCACACCCGGCCCTTCAGTGTCAATTATCTTAGGCCTGTTCTATCTAGATAGCTAATAATGAATGTTAAATAGAATATCTTTTTTTGGTATATGGTACTGGGATGGAATCCAGGGCCTTGCACATGCTAGGTAAGTGCTCTGTCACAAAGCTACATCCCCACCCCTAGGATCTGTTGTTAAAGGAATATTGTGTTTTTTTGGATGTTATACCCAAATGGTAAGTTATTTCAAGTTACTAGTTTTTATAATATGCCACATATGACAGATTTATTCATAAGATGAAATTGGAAGGTTTTGTGTGTTGATGATGCGGTTCTCATTTGGAAGTGGTGTTTAATCAGTATGTCCACTTTAATGACAGTACCTTTGCCATACTACTGTGGAGTTTGTTCACTGTTACTATTCATAAATTTCAAAGACCTGTGTTTACCATGCTGGCCTTTTTTTTTTTTTTTTTTTTTTTTTTTTGAGACAGGGTGTCACTATGCAGTTCAGGCTGGCCTTGAGCTCAGTTTGTAGCCCAGGCTCATTTTGAACTGAGTGATCCTCCTGTCTCAGCCTTCCTAGTGCTTGGATTACAGGTGTGCCTCACTATGCCTGGGCAAACTCATGTTAAATTGAGTATGGCAGTATGTGCCTGCAATCCCAGCAGTTGGATGGCTGAGACGGAAGGATTGCCATGAGTTCAATGCCAGCCTGAGCTACATAGTGAGACCCTGCCTCAAGAAAGCAACCAACCAACCAAATAAAAAAAAACAAGCAAATATAAATGAACAACAAATAACTTACGTGTTAATGAGGCTGTTTTTATGGAAAAAGGTAAGTATGTAAGATCAGATGATAAAAGAGTTATGCAACCATCATTTATTGTGGAATTAGTGGAACTGAAATAAGCTGGATATGAAAAATAAAATTGGTAATTGGAATGTAGTATCAGGTCTGTATGTTTTTATACATTGGAT